TGTCGCAACCAAATACACCACATGGCCCACCAAATGGGCCGCCCAGTTAAGTCGCCATGGGATCCACGTGCGACGAAGGTACTGAAAACATTCCGCTCTGCGCACAGCTATACCATCCGCAAGCCGAAGATAATGCTCGCGATCGTGCATATACAACAACGATCGCAGCACCTTCAACAGAGCCCTTTTATCTTCCGTGTTACAGAAGGTAAGGTGAGAACAACGCCGCTGCATGTCGCACATAATGTGTACCCGGCAGAAAACTAGGTTGGCAGTGGGATACGTATGGTGAAACACATGCACCTGCGCCGCGCACTTGTCCATGACCAGTGTTTGAGCAGGGCAACCCCAGGGGCCAAATCCAGCATACTTCGCACTGCCTCTTGGTAAGTAGCCTCCGTCTCATTGGGCAAAGGCGCATAAAAGAAGCTCATACCAAGGCCGCTGACGTCCACAAACATACAATGCCATAGGACGTATGCGCTAGGTGTGGGGTCCGCCAAAATTACGTCTCCTTATTGGCCCACCAATTACAGCATACGCGGGGGGACGAAAAACGGGTACCGAATCTAGTTTCCCTCATGTATAATTTTAACCTGCCCATTTCTTCGCAACAGATGCGTATCCTCCATCATTTCCGTGACACAGGGTTTACGATGGCGCCGCCGTGTCATACAAATCGTGCCTCGTTAACCGAAGGTTATGTTGAAGACGCAAAAATGCACGTATCTCCTGCTTCCGACGAAACGTCTTTGTTAAGTAGGTTAAGCACCATGCTTTCTTGATGCGCTGTTAGCCGCCGATTTTTGGCATACAACCAAAGCTTCCCCACGTGAAAACTGTGCTAATGGCGAAGGCAGACGTTTCCAGTCTCGTAACATTCTCCCCTAAAAACCGCTGAGAACCGAGCAGGATAATTGTAACACGTGTACCCGTTACAATCTCTTCATCAAGTGGATGCACAGCATTTACCGCTTTCCAGCAACATTCGAGCGCTTGCCATGCACGCACACAAACTGAATATATTCGTACGGGCATCCTTCCGGTAGCACCTGTCCAGTCTGTTGGGCGGAGCCTGGGATACTAGTCGGTAAGCAATGACACGTAATACGTGTCAAATACGACAGTATAGAAGTCGGAGGCGACTGAACCCAACGTATATTGTACAGGCTACAAGAATAGGAGGCGAATCAGGCAGAGCGAGAAACGTGCAGCAAGGTACTCACCAAAACGGTTTGTGACAACGAACGTGCAGTCAGTAAAACAAATGGACGTTTCGAAGGTTAAAACGACTATAAAATCCAATGTTACAAGACACTGAAAGAGCATGTTTTCTGTTGCACTACAAGTCTTCCTTTGGTAAGCTTTCGCACTTTTAACTCTCCGACGAATGAACGATGTCGCAGTTTCAATAGGGAAAGTTTCAGAGCTTCATTGATCGATGAAAACTCCAGATATGGACCCTTGAAGATACGTCGGAATGCACAAGTCATTGAACATGGCAGCTTTCGCTAGAAGGGGAAAATGATTAACCACCGTAATGCATTTAAACCTTTTAGTATATTGATATAATGCTCCTTTTAGCATATTACGACGTTAACATAATAATAAATATGCACATGCGTCGGAAAGCCCAAAAGTTTTCTTTATCAACATACAACCTTGTTTACCACAATCACACTGTCAAAACATCATTGAAGGCGATTGGCGCTGCGAAGTACTCGCAGCACCGTTACTCCGCAAAACCTAACGCACAATAAATAGTTTCGTGTCATTTTATGGCATGACTCCCGGCTATCGTTCTGCCTTTGTAGTTGTATTTAAATCTGTGCAAATGTGCTATTAAAATTGTTTGAATGTGTCGGAAACCAGATATGCGGTAGAAACAGTATTTTCGAATCCGTACGCCATGGAGTCTGATTTCCGGAGAATCTTCCTTGGGCGTTCTTTTGACAGATTTGATGAGCTTAATAGTTTGTTTTTAGAATTTATGCTTCTTCATTACGTCAAGTTCGTACGCTACAGCAGCAGAAAGTGTAACTTGTCACGGGTGAAGTACGACAGGATCGTTTATAGATGTGTCCGCTGCGCACGTCGGAAGTCAAAAAGTACAGGAATGAGACGTATGTAGTAGGATTTCGCTTTTATTATTTTAAATCTTTCAGCTCAGATGATACTAACTGCCAAGCTCGCGTTAACCCCATTAGAACGGGACTTAAGCTGAAAGTCACAACGGTCGATCTGTCCCACAATCACCCAGTAAATCGCCTTCTTGTTTAGCGACATGCCCAAGCTGGACTGGTGCATTTTGGCAATACAACGAACAATCGAGTTGAGAATACCAACTTGCGCTTGATGAAAGTTAGCCGTGCATCGGGTGGACTTGTTGCAGCCGTTCTCAAAGTCTGTGCGCATTCGGAAGTTCTCCTGAAAGTCCCAGATGTATGCCGCATTTTTCTCTGACAGGCTTCAGCTACTGGAAGGCAGCGCATATGTTCATCGCGTAGTTTGCCTTATAACTACGTACGCATGCAACTTAGTGATGCACCATTCAGCACAACCCATGTCACAAGCAGTTTACTCGGACCTTGGAGATGGAGTGGTATGTGAATAAAAGTTTCTGACGATCCCATAGTTTGGGATATCGCACCAGGGAAACCGCTTCACCATCGATTGCTCCTTGGAAACGTGTACCTGTCCTTTCTATGAAACCATGTGGCTTCCGTGTGTGCATTTAATGACGGCATACAAGCAGCACGCGTACTCGACAAGTAAGCCGTTTCTGATAAGTGCATCCATTTACAGGCTAAATACCTATTTGCATCCGCTGGCTGGCCGACTACAACCTACCCACAGAGTCCATGCCGTTGCTGACATTGAAAGTCCCCGTTACGAAACCATCCACGTCTAAAATTGCACATCTTGAACATCGTCTGAGAAGCGCTGAAGAGGTAAATCCATCCGGATTTTCGGAACTGTATCAAGAGCTGTTGCGAAGGACTAACGAAGTAATTGGTGATTCATCAGACTATCAACGTGCAAAGAAACAACCACGGCCGAAAATTATGACGCCCACAGATATATGTTTCACATGCAGCAATCCTGGTATGATTGACGCAGTTCGTTGTGCACACAATTTGTGTCAAAGCTTCACAAACGGTATCTGTGCCCATGATGGCAGTGCGATGCTGTACTACCAGTAAGAAAGTAACTTTTTACTTCCATATTTAGCTGTTGGCCGTTCACATTCACCGGATTTCACAGTTGCCTCTACCCCATCAACCTATTCCGCTTACGAAGGTAAGCGACAACTTAGTATTACTAGTCCCTGCGCAGGCAGTCATGATGAGATTACCGCCGATCCGAGTACAAGTCAACAAACCGTACCCCATAATGCACGTGCACTTGGTACTGGTGATCTATTTCCTTGCCTTTCATCGATAGTTTGTCGAAAGGGAGCCGTGGAGTTCCCCTCAAACAGAGGCATTGTGCAGAATAGAGCGCCAAAGTAAGCTATTCGGTGCAAGTTAAACTCCCATTTTCACTTCATTGTAGTGTCGACATGGATGCCAGCCCAGAAAAGAAAGCGCAAAGGAAAAAGCTTGTTCAGATAAAAACTCTCATTCAATTACCCGACAGTAGGCTATATGTTCGCACTACTGTCACGCATATTTAAGGCAAATATAGCTGCATGCATTACACACTTCGATGTTTCCTTATCGATACGTAGACACATAGTAACGTCAGTTGGATATTAACAATTTTGCAACACAGCGGGCCCAGCTGATTGAGTAGACATCAGTTTGCATTCATTTCAAAACCGTTTTGCTGCACATCTCCTGTGTTCCGTTTTCCGTTTAACATTATCTAGAGAGGACGCCGAGAAGACGCATAAAAGATTACAACGGACTATTAACAGACGCTGGTGACAACAAGCTTGTCAAAAAAGAAAGCTTTTACGGTATAAGTTGCTGGAATCCAATGTTTTTAACGGACTTCCGAGACTGCGAATAAGTTAAATGCAGCATCCATGAAAACAGGAGACTTAATTTTGACTTTTAGCATTGCATTGCTCTCACTGTGCAATATTGCACATAAGGGTGTGGAAATTTCTTTGTCTAATTAATTCAGTAAATTTACAGCATTGGTTAACCGTATTGCTAAGCATTCGAATCGGCGGCAGAGGGTTCAAGTTCAAGTTCAGTTGGGACCGGAACGATAGGATAATCCCGTGAATGTTCCTTCTTTTGCGTATCGTTGGATCGGGAATTGACAGGTCTGCTTGAGATGTTGAAAAGCCTAAAACAAAGACCGCATCACACCCTGTCCAACCAATTACTGCCCACATTTTCCTGCCCAGCAGTCCCTGCCGGGCCGGTTTATGTGAAGTAAAAGAGTGAAGGGTAAGTTAAGAAAAGAAAAGGAGGAATGTCAGCTAAATAATGATAATACCAAGGTGAGAAGAAGATTAAAAAGAACGAAGGGAAAGTTGAAGATACAAGTCGGTTAGGAGAAGGGGAAGGTTTGGTACTGCCACCCTAGAGCATCTAATTGACGCTCGAAACCCTCTACCGTAGACTCCCTAACCACGTGCGTTGGAAGCGAGTTCCAACGTTCAATAACTCGACGCGACAAGCGAGTTTCCGTCCTTACCCGGTCAGAACGCTGTTTGTGCAGCTTCAACGGGTGACCTCGGAGACTAGGCAGCTTGGCGGGACTAAATAGCCAGGATAAATCTGGACCAATCTTACCCGTTAAGATACGGTAAGTGAGAATCAAGTCTCCTCTAATTCTGCGGTAGTGCATTGAGTACATACCCAAGCTAAGCAAACGTTCGGGATACGTTTGATAGCTTTTTAGCATACTAAAACACAGTCTTAAGGTTACACCAGTTTAGAAGGTCAGAGTCCAGAGCTCAATTGTTTCACTCCCGTCCGACAAATCAACCAACGTCACCATCTTTAAAGTACCCTGCTATGTCTGCGACTACTGGGCAGCGCGATTAGCGGATCCGACGCCCGGGGTTCGACCCTGGATGTACCACTTGACGTAATGTGCGTTGTCCGTGTTCGAATCATGTTTTGAATGATGACCAAGCGAAATGACAGCAGCGATTTCCCGACATACATCAACGATTTCCCTAGCATCACCGGCGCCTGTACATGTGGATGCAGGTTTTCTAGTGCAGTGCCTGGGCCGCCACAAGGAACTCCTTGAGGCCGGATGTGAGCGGGTATTGTACTCAAAGTGTTGTGAGATCAGCAAGAACGGTGAGCCCTTTCCTCCATAAGGCAACGTGTCTTTTTACTTTACCCCAGCATTAACGAACGCTAGTAGTATAACAAATCCTTAACTGACCGCCTCATTGTTTCGAAAACTCCCTATTTTGTAGCCACACAAACAGTGCTATAACTGCACCCTAAAGGCTAATTCTTTTAATCACATATACACCCTGCATAATCTTTACATACCTCGAGGTATGTTTCTGATCGGAAACATTGTCTGTTCTTTCGGCTGCCGCTTTGGTTTCTTTTCATAACCATTTCTGATGTGCTTGAAAGCCAAACGTGAGTCGTTAAGCTATTCCAAGTTAGACCACTTGGATAATAAGCACTAAGCTATCGTGTGCTTCCCTGTTGTATTTGCACGTTTATCCTTGGAGAGTACCTTTCTCTTCAACCTTTATCTGCTGCTGCTTCTATACTAACGATCTATCACTGCGGAACCAGATGCCAGAATTCGCTGCTCTTGCGTTTGACACGCAAGATAAAGTTATCTATACAACCAAAACCTGGTTCTACCCAGACGTCTACGCCGAGGTAGTGTAATGCACAATAATCCAGGGGGGAGCACGAGAGATCGTCAATGGCTGAAAAACGCAGGGAAGAACTGATAACGATGGCAGCACGCGTCGCAAGGGTCACAGCGCACAGGATAAGTCAGGGCAAAACACAACATGCACCCGGCAGCGTGTAATTGGCAAGAATCCAAAATTCAGGTAATTCAAACAAAAAGGGGTTAACTGTACACAAACCGGAATAGGAAGTACAACAATAATAATTACTGTTGTTCTTTAAAGTCATTGTCATCTGATAAACAGTCCAAATGTCTTGCTTGGTTGTCAGGCCGCCGATCTGAAAGGGAAAAAAAGAGAAGGTCATAAAGAGTTCGATCATTGGCACTACCCCATCCCCCTCTCCGAGATGCGTCGTCCTCGCCGCCCTAACTACTAATCGATACGTAGGGCTCTGTGGTCGTTACTTCCACTTCTGTTAACGCATCTGATTGGTCAGTGTCGGTTACCGGACGCTGAGAAGATGAAATGGGATGAGTACTGAGAGTTGCCGGTTTGAGACGATTGAAATGGACAACAGTTGAACGGTCGGTGTCTTCACCTTGTCTGTAAATTCGACAGGTGGAATCAGTATACACTTCCTCGACCACGAATGGACCGGACCACTCCTTGTGCAGCTTCGCCGGAACGCCCTGAGATGGATTCGGAGTGTGGAGGTAGACTTGTTGTCCAGGCTGAAGTGGACAGCCGTGCACTTTCTGGTCATAGTAATCCTTTTGACATCGACGGGCAGCTCCTAAGTGCTCTCGCGCAAGCGAATAAGCTTTGGTCAGGTCCCGACGTAGACGAACGGCATAGTCTGTGGCAAGGAGCGAATCAGCAGCCGCGGTTGGCACAGTCAAATCAATTGTCAATCTCATTTCGCGCGCAGTTACCATGAAGTGTGGAGTATTATCAATAGACGAGTGAACGCTGGACCGATAGGACAGGAGGCACCGTGGAAGTGCAATATCCCAATCGCGGCTGCGGTGTTCCTCTGTGAACGCTTTTAAAAGAGCCTTCAGCGATCGATTCGTGCGCTCTACTTGGCCATTGCCCTGGGGATGGTAGGCTGTTGTCCGAGTCTTTCGAATGTTTAGTATTCGGCAGAGTTCAGACACTATCAAGCTTTCGAAATTAGAACCACGATCAGAATGAAGTTGCTCAGGTGCCCCCCACCGTGAAATCCAGTGGTCAAACACAAGCTGAGCTGTGGATCTGGCGTCAATGTACGGGGTTGGTATTGCCTCACACCATTTGGTGAAATAATCGACCAAAACAAGTATATACCGATTCCCTCGTGGCGTTTCAGGCAGGGGTCCAAGGACGTCCACACCTACTGTTTCGTTGGGATATCCAATTACCATGGGCTGTAGGGGGGGCCCTGTTCATCGTTTGTGGTTGCTTAATGCGGATACACTCATGGCAGGCGTTACAGAAGTTCGCAATATCTTGACGCTGTTGAGGCCACCAAAAACGCAAACCTGCTGCTTGCTCTATTTTCCGTTGTCCCGCATGCCCCAACTCCCTATGTAGCTGTTCGAGTATCCGTTGCACCATGGACTGTGGAACAATAAGTCTGCTAGGGTAATTCGGACCACACTGGTAGTACATGACACCATCCAATAGCCGAATTTTCGACCACAGAGACCACAAGCAGTGCGCTTCCCAACTAGATCCATCCATTTCTACCTTCGTAGGCTTCACACTCCTCTGTCGTAGGCGCTCATAAATCAACTTGGTCTCTGAGTCTATACTTTGAGCTGATGCCCAGTCTGTTGAATCCGAATGGTTCAGAGACACAACGGCAACGTTCGAGGTTGAACACAACGGACAATCCCCATGTGCCCTAGACGGCCGGCGAGACAGGGCGTCTGCATTTCTGTGTTGCTTTCCGGGGCGATGTTGACATTCAAAGTCGAAGGCTTGCAGTTTTTCTTGCCAACGCGCAACTTGCCCTTCGGGTTCGCGAAATTCCCGCAGGCACCGGAGCGCCTGATGATCAGTGCGGACTATAAAGTGTCGACCCAACAGGAAACGTCGAAAATGTTTAACGAAGGAGACCAGGGAAAGCATTTCTTTCCTAGTAGTGCAATAGTTTCGCTCCGTTTTTGTCAACTTGCGGCTAGCGTAAGCGATAACCCGTTCCATACCATCCCCAGAGACCTGTGATAACACAGCTCCGATACCAACCTCACTAGCATCAGTGTCCAAAATGAATGGGGCGGCTTGAGGTGACACATCCGGGAAGACAAGGATTGGGGCGCTGGCCAAAGCATAACGTAACTCATCAAAAGATTCCTGGCACTGCGGGCTCCAGTGGAAATGCCGACCCTTCTCCTTGAGTCGGTGCAATGGTGCTGCCATATCCGCATAGTTCTTCACGAAGCGTCTGTTGTAAGAAGCCAGACCAAAAAAAACTCCGAACCTCTACAACGGACTCGGGAATAGGCCAACTTAAGATATCCTGTACTTTCGAAGGATCGCTCCGGATCCCACAATCGCTGATCACGTGGCCTAGATATTTAACCTCTCTCTTCAGCAGGTCGCACTTAGACGGCTTCAACTTCAATCCTGCGGAACTAAGGCACTGCAGCACTGTTTCTAGATTTGTGAGATGTTCATCGAGCGTACGTCCATGAACTGTTACATCATCGAGGTATACAAGACATTTGCTTGGCTGCAGATCTCTGAGTACAATGTGCATCAGTCGCTGGAAGGTCCCTGGTGCATTAGCCAACCCAAACGGCATGGTCTGGAACTCATAAAGTTCAGTGGGTATAACGAAGGCAGTTTTCTCAATGTCCATAGGGTGTACTTCGACTTGCCAATAACCTGAGGCGAGATCCAAAGTAGAGAACCAGGTGGCGCCATGCAATGATTCCAGAGTGTCATCAATCCGAGGTAGAGGGAAAGAATCTTTTCGTGTAACATCATTAAGTTTCCTATAGTCCACAGAGATGCGCAGTGTTCCATCTTTCTTTTTGACTAATACAATAGAGGCAGCCCAGGGGGATCGCGAAGGACGTATGACATTATCTTTTAACATCTGGTCCACCACTTTCTGTAATTCCTGTCTATACACGGGTGGGACACGCCTGGGTCCTTGCCGTATTGGTGGAGCAACCCCTGTTTCTATCCGATGCTTAAGTACGCTCGTTCTACCCAAAGATGTACCTTTCCACGCGAACGCGTGCTTGTGTGAACGCAGTAAATTCTCCAGGCGTTTCCGAGCTTCACCGTCGACAGTAGGGCTAACAGACGAAAGCAATTCCGATATCTCACCTGCAACATCCACGGTGCTAGCACCCAGAATAAAAAACTTTTTCACATGACCATTATTAGGTCTGAAGTTTAGAGGGAGCAGCTTGTCACGCAACGTCAAAACTCCGGAGGTTAGATCGATGACGCATGCATACCGACTTAAGAAGTCAACCCCCAGTATCGCGTTCCATGGAATTTGGTCAGCTATGTAAAACTCATGAGAAAGAAGCTCTTGACCGACCAGCAAATCTACGGAAGTAACCCCATGAGTAAGCAGAACCATCCCATTTGCCACTCTGATCTGACGCCCGGGACTAGTGACTACTGTGGGGGACAAGAAACAGGATTTTAAAGGGCTACACGCTGCACTGGTGTCAATGAGGGCATGCAATCGCTGAGTATTGATTACTACAACAACAGTAGGGGATTCACAGAACTTAGAAGACACCAAAGGTACACAAGGAAGTTCTGACTCATCGTCAATGAATCGTACTCCCGGTGATTGTTCGCGCCTTCGGAAATTGCGGGGGCGTCGTACTGACTTCTCATGGGGTGAATTCTGGCACTTGGGACAATAACGACGGCAAGTATGTGAGCTTAGGCTGTGAGGCGGTTCAGTCCGGTTCATCGTCAGCGGCACACAACTAATAGCCATCAGCTTGTCGACCTCCTTCGGATGCCTATCGCGGATCACCTCTTCTTCGCGCGCAAGCCGCGCCGCGGTCGCTAAGTCTCTCGGCGGCTCTCGTATAAAACGCTCCGAAGTGCGATCGTCGTTGATGCCTTCAATAAACCGCTCTAAAATGAAGGCCTCTCTTTCTGTTACTGATTTCCCTGGAAAAGCCTTGGCCGATAGCACCCGAAGGTCCCACAAAAAGGCATCGGCCGACTCTGCCTCTCGCCGAAACCTCTTCCAGAATAGGGATCGAGTAGCCGACCCGTGCTCTTTGTCTGGAAAAAGAGCCTCTAGTTGATTCCAGATTTCTCCGACAGAGGCATCAGGGCGAATGTCAGTCGATAACAAAATTTCCTGAACTCCATCACTAAGTGAATTCATGATACCCGACGATTGGTGTTCTTCGGGAACGCAAGCCAGAGACATTTCTACGCGTCGCCGCCAGTTGCATAGGTTAGTATCAACATCAAAAACCGGTGGGGGACGGCGAGACAGCT